GCCCAAAACACAATCTTGGCCAAAATATTTGCATACTGTTCTGTACTGATGTTATTGCCTACATGCATACAGTAGTTATTGAGTAAATACCAGAGTAATAACAGAGAAGGTAGCATATGGTTAGACAAACCTGTACGATTTGTTATTATGATCTGTATAAGTTGTTTTGAGCAGTTGTTCGTCAAAGCCCACATACACAGATCACTGCTTTGTACAGAAAATTTCTCTGTATTTGGCGTAGAGTCATGCCTCTTCATGTGCCACAAGTTGTAGGGCATCAACTTGTCCGACTGTCTAGAAATGTTATCGAAATGTACCAAGTACTGAATGTTTCTCATTAACTGATTTAAGGTTTCAGGCGCTATTCATATTATTTTTTGTTATATTTTGTCATTATATCTTTTTTGGTAATGTTTTGTTCTGATAGGTGATAAAATTGTTTGTTGTTGTAATAAATCGTTCATGATGTCCATAGAATCTGTTTCATTATACAAATTACATATTTAGATGTTTAATATAACATGCATTTCTCATTTCTACAACACTAAGTGCATTTGTATTTCCTTTTAATAATAATAATCTTATTTATTACAAAATATGCAAACATTTTAGCTAAAACTGTATAATAAAAACTGAAAAAAAGAAAATTACAAGCAACTGCAGGAATAAACAAGCCTAATTCTGTGTTTTTTAAGTGGAACAGTTGCAATATGAGCTGCTATGGTCCCACAAGTACAATGACATATTTATGCAATAAATCACTGAGTTGCTTTCATTGCAATGGATCTATATTGTTTTCACAATCCTCAAACTACGATCTCAGATATCTTGGCAGCCATATACTTGCTTTCAGGTGTAATGTAATTGACACAACCCTGTTATCACTGGCCTTGGTTACTTCCATATCAATCATTGTTTCTAAAACCATTCCAGTTCGAAGCTGGATAACAACTTTCTCATAATCACAATACTACACTGAAACTACATCCCTCCTTGGACAGATAATTTACCAAGATAATGCTATTTGTTTACTGAATAGTAAAGAGTTTATTTCATGTGTGGGCTCTATAATTACATTACATTAATGGGGTTAATTAACATTGATGCCCTAGACTTCTATCTGCTACATATACTAATGCAACTCATTGTTCCTGAACACTATCTGGCTGACACTTGATAACTATCATAGGGAACATTAGTTTCTAAAATGACCAATACATTTTGCAGAACATCCACCTCAAGGATGTCAATGCCAGAATTCACGTCAGAGACAACTGCTTTCATTCTATAAGTTACGTCTCATAGTCTATCACCATTTGCCAGAACAAAGTAGATGTGCACTGGTTGAAGTAATGGTTTTACTCGGAGAGCCTGATACACTGCATAATCTACCAGTGTTTTAGGAACTCCAGAATCAGTAAAATTCTTGATCTCTCCTACTTGTACTCTTATAGGTTTGTACCACGCTTCATCCATTCCCAAAAGAGATAGGCTAACTACCAAACCTTTTGGTACAAGCTGTCTGCCATGCCCTTCTCGAAGTCAGTGGCCAGGACCGACTTAGGCTCTATTAGTTTTCCAAAGCTGTATTGACAATTTTTACTCTTTGCTATTGATTCTTCTAGATATACTGAGCTGTTTGTTTAAACCATTAGCCTTGTTCACCCTGCTGCTCAGGAAAGTAATCTAACATACCATATCCAAAGCATATGCTTTGTTTATCTGTTCAAAACTGATATCTAGCTTGAGGTATCATTGGCAAAGGCATGAAAACAATGGGAGGGCCAGGATGTCCTTGCTTGTTCAGTGGAATTCAGTGTGGTTGCATCATAGGGCTAGAATTTGTGAGTGTCTGGTAAATCTTTTGCATGGTTCACGTTTGACACAATGAAGGCACCTGAGTAGGATTGTCGATCAAAGTTGTAGCCACAGCAGCTTCTGTTGCAGGATTCTTCCTCTTTTATGACTTGTTCAAAGTTGTCCCTTCATGAACTTATACATTAAGATAAGTAAGTGGTCAGACTCTTGGTAGAGTCTTTCTTCTGAACTTGAACTCAGCCTGATGGACTACTATATTTTCCACTGAGTCAAACTGTTGGTGCAATTTGTCATGAAGGTATCACATTATTTCAGTTTCTCCTAACTCAGTGGAGTCTAGGACTGGACAATACAAGCTCAGGATTAGATATTCGACTATCTACTCCTGAGACCAACCTTTTCATTCTGTCACCTGCCTGAAACACTTCAGGAAACGTTCTAGGTCTTCTTTTGATGCATTTTTAAATATCAGAGACGAAATCTAATTTGCCTAACTCACAGGGACCTGTGGTTGTGGCCAAAGCTTCTCTCTTATAGGTTCGTGGCAATAGTTAACTGAGATGCTGCTGACGTCATGGGTAAAGTGCAGTCGGCGTATGCAGGGATCTCAATCCTCAGCCAAGTAGTTCCTTGATCTAGGGCACAGAATAATGAGTTCCTCCTGACAGCTCATTCATCGCCTTTGCAGTACAACCCCAGTTTCTTCATGATCTATGGTTGATCTAGCAGGATATCTCCTGGTTTTGAGAAACTCTTGACTGTCTCGTGGTTTGAAGTCTTCACGATGGTGGCTCCTATCCCACCTGCTAGGAAAACAGCTTTGATTGACAGACTTCATTTCCCTCAGTGACACTTCCATTTCTTCTTGGCTGATCTTAACCAGAACGGGGGTTGTGTTACTTTAGAATGAAAGCAACTTCAAGACATTTTTGTCTACGTGTTTATGTTAAAAATGCACATACCACGAATAAACTATTTTTTTTTTGCAAAATTTTAGATTGAAAGAAGAATATAGGAAATATATGGTGTGCTTGCATAACATACTGGATATGTGTTTTTAACATTTTCCCTAATCCATTCCTTGTGAATTCAAAACCAAAGGCATACAAAAAGGGTTTGAAATCTGTCTTTTGTTCTCTACGCATCGCTGCCCAGACTATCTTTTATTCCACAATATCATAACCCCTTAGCTGGGATGGATGTGATAGCAAACAGATAAATTTAAAGATATATTTTGAAATTCAAAGCAAATAGAAGATTGTGAAAAATGTCTGCAGTCTAATATAATTTTTATTTCAAATAAAATTGTATAAGTTGTTAGTATTATTTGTTAAATTGAGCATATAAGCCTGCTTTTACAGTCTTTTCAAATATTTATACACAGCTTCATTCACTACAAAAGGAACAAGATGCCCTTTCATTCAAAATGGTTGGGCTTAGTGGTTAGCATACCCAGACTATAAATCTGCGGGTTCATGGTTCATGTCCCATTGTTGCAAAAATGCACTCTGTACTTTGTGGCTATGAATGCATTATAAAGTTTGGTTTGTTTTGAATTCCGCGCAAAGCTACACGAGGACTATCTGTGCTAGCCGTCCCTAATTTAACAGTGAAAGACAGGAGGGAAGGCAGCTAGTCATCACCACCCACCGCCAACTCTTGGGCTACTCTTTTACTAACAAATAGTAGGATTGATCATCATATTATAACGCTCCCACGGCTGAGAGATGGAGCATGTTTGGTGGGACGGGAATTCGAACCCGCGACCCTCAGATTGCGAGTTGAGCTCCTTAACTACCTGGCCATGCCAGGGTGAATGCATTATAAGAGTGACGGTCAAATTCTGCTATTCGATCTAACAGGAGTAGTGCAAGAGTCGGTTGTGGATGCTCTTGACTAGCTATTTCCTTCTGGTCTATCAGTTTAAAATTAAGAACAGCTATGTGTATATAGCCACTTTGTTGCTATGCGCGAAAATTATTTAAAAAAAGGAAACAAAAATCAAATTTTAAATTATACGAAGCCGAAAGGGGGTCGTAGAAGACTTATCATATCTTTTTTGTTATTTAGTTACTTGGAGAGTTATATGTTTGTTTATCGATCAAAGCTAAGTAATTTGTATAGGCACTGTTAGCAAGAAATTTCTGTTGAAGTGTTGTTTGTGAATTTCGGCCCCAACTTGTATCAAAGTGAACGTAGCCTATAACAAACGTTATAGAATAAATACAATTATTTGTTATTGTAACGTGAACTGGACTCCACATTATCTTCACCAAGTAATTCAAAAGAACCTGCGCAACGATTAAACACCTTATAATAGTTTGATGAACGAAAGTATACGATAGATAAACCTCAACTTGAAAAACGACAGTACATTGATGATCACCATCTTGATAATGTAGACGATAGAGAAACCATTATTAAATGAAAACAATGTTATAATACCCATCAGTGAATATTTCTCCAACATATATGTAATTTATATTTCTGAAGTGAAATTATTCTATGTTTTAAAGTCTTCAGTTTTAACAAATCACAAGATAGAAAAGTTTCACTTTCCAATTGAAGATACTTTTAAAAGTAACTCGCTGAAAGAAAATCTTGGCACTGCAATTTGTTATACAACCTTTTCCCTTAGAAAAACGAACTACACTGAGAATATTTAAAAACCCAAGCTCATGCGACTCACACCATCATGATTTTAAATTGAATATACAGTAAATTTGGAACTGAAGTTTCTAAAACAATCATTTCTTGTAGTTTTGCAGCAGATAGCAAAAATGAAACAGTTATGATGTTCTATAGAGTGAGATTACTAGTTTCTCTCATATCTTTCTATTTGATTACTCTTAGAACCTATTTCATGATGGTTTAGGCTTATTCACCCATTGGAAGAATTCTTATAAAGTAACTGTTTCACCCTTCCACGTGGCTCAGCAGTAAGTTTGAGGGCTTAAAACGCTAAAATTTGGTTTTGATAACCGCGATGGATAGAGCAGAGATAGCCTATTGTGTAGCTTTGTGTTTAACAATAACCAAACAAAGCCTTTCAATCTAGGCTGTTTATAAGAGTGGGGTGTCTGATCATTTTTTGATATAACAGCTTTAGATAATTTCAGTCATGTGGCTTTTGCAGGTATAGAAATGTTGATGACGTTTGTTTTTCTCTGTGTTTTATACAGGATTTCTGCACAGAACAAAATCCAATAGTAGAGCTGAAAACGTTGAAGAAAACATAAAATCATCTTCAATGGGCAATATCTTCGGTCATTCAGAGGTAAAATGATGAGCAATAAATGTGTCTAACAGTCTTCAATTCCTAAAACTTTAGAGTTCGCACTTTTTCTCTATTTTATACTATAATTAACTTTTCACTTTGTACAATTGTGTTATGATCCAGCAAAGAATGTTTAACGTAATTATAGTGTTCAAAGCAGGCAATTATTTTTATGTACAAGACTTTTTCTCGTGTTACAGACTGACAAAGAAAAATTTGTTCGCCATTGCAAGGAGATGTCTTTTAATGATTGTCTTCAATATCGACTAGGTTATCCAGTAAGTGTGATATTTCATTTGATACATATTTGACTTTTCAAGGTGGTCATGCTTTACAAATTAATTTGATATGCTGCAAATCCTCAACAGTGATGAGAATTATTTATTGTTTACTTGTGATTTCGAAATATTTATGGTTTACTTGAAATATAAAATTTATATTAATTTTGTTTGATATTTTACGGCCACTTGAAAATCGTTACATTTGCTACAGTTATTTGTTTGTTTGTTTTGTTGAATTTCGCGCAAAGCTACTCGTGGGCTACCTGCACTAGCAGTTCTAATTTAGAAGTGATAAAAGTGAGGAGAATTATTTATTGTTTACTTGTGATTTCGATATATATTTATGGCTTACTTGAAAGCTAAGACTTATGTTAATTTTGTTTTGATATTTTACGGGCATATGAAAATCGTTACAATTGTTTTAGTTATTTGTACAATAAGCGCACAGTGGGCAGTGTCATTGTCATCCTGGAACATAAAGTTATTGCCAAACCTTGGCCTAGCATGTGGCAGAAATATCGTCTCATGTGATGCCTGTAGGAGTCGCCAGTAACGTTTTCCTGTAGGATATGAAGAGCAGTTTTTCCACCATGATAAACAGCTGCCCATATATGTACTGCACCACCTCCTGTGTGTTTCCTGTGGGAAAGATAGTCTTCCCTCATCTGTTCTCCAGGCAAACGACGAACACGAATCTTACCACCAGCTTTAATAAGCCAGAAACAGGACTCATCTGAAAAGATGACATGTTACCAATGTACTAACTTTACTTTGGCATGCTGTCTTGTCCAAGTAACATGGTAATGGTGATGAATTTTGGTTAATATCGGTTTGCAGATAGCCCTTCTTGCAAAATAACCTTGTTTAGTCAGTCTCCTATTCACTGTTCTTCTGGATACCTGGAATGAATGTGTTCATGCCATTCCTGTCGTAATGTGTTGCAGGACTTCTTTCAACCTTGACGTACTAACCTAATAACAACACGGTTATCTCTGGCAGTGGTTTTTTAGTGCCTACCAGTAGACATTCCTGGAACAACGTTTCTTGTCGTTCGATGACGTTTCAGGATTCTGGATACAGTACACTGAGGGTACCCTACTGTTCTATAAATGCCCATTTGTTCATACCATTTCTGGACAGTCAAACAAATTGACGCCCTATAACTTCTGGCACGTGACGAGGCATGATTTGACACCAAGTGCAGAGAAATTATCTGATCAAGGCATTGATCTATTTCGAAAATATTATACCAAAAACACACCCTTTTATACAAAACAGGTGAGTATGTGTGTTTTGACGAACAAATGCTAAAATAACTTATACAGACCAGAATAACAACTCTTACATATTTGTTCCATCATACACTACCTCCTCTGTAGCTACTCGGGCATTTACTCAATAACTACTCTATGCATGAAGACAATAACATCAATATATGTTATGCACATTATGGAGCCACAGTTAACAATTCGTAATTTTGGAAAGTAACCGAAGAATTTACAACATAGTTCGCATGGGAGCCAGAGGCACTAGAGTTTGTGACAATGTGTAATGGTGATATTTGTATCTAACAATATATGAGTATAAATAAATATATGTGTGGTCTTATATGAACATTACATAAAATTATTCATGAGTTTTGCTTAACACAAATGGATCAATTGCCAAAAAATACAATGGTTAAGCAACATGTGGACGGAACAAAGGATTTGGTCTGGATGGCAAGACATTATGATATGAGGGTAACTGTGATTAATGAACTCTAAGGTATTATTATAAACACATTGCACGTGTTATCTTTTTTTAATGGTTTAAAATTATTTTCAGTTTTGAAATTGTAGTATTTGACAAGTAATGAATGTCCATAGAAGAGTAAGAATAACAGTCTAAACACAGTTCTGGTGTTTTTTCGCTAAGAGTAATGGTAAATATTTTGAGTGGACTATCAGCTTAGATATCACCGCAACTGTAAACATAGCGCACCAAGTGTTTGATTTGGTTGTGGTAGAATGTTTTCATTCATGTAACTTGAAATATTTCATAAGAACACAATTTTCAGAATATTTTTGTTGTAGTACAAAGTACACTTATAACACATTAAAAAACGGGCTATGGGTGTTCTAAGGTAGCGACGGAAAGTTACACCCACATGGTGAAATTTGTAAGCTACAATAGTCAGTAATACACTTACAACAGAAATAAAGTCCCTAAGGGGAAACAATGCAAAAGTAAGGGTTGAGGTCATGTAACCCAAGCCAATTCATGTATGTAGAAACCAGTTTTACAGCCCCGACCCATTCTTTTCTACTGGAACATGCGGTAGGAAGAAGAATGAAACAAGGAAACAAGACAAGGGGCTTTTACGTCAACAATGCTCAAGACATCATCAGTAAAGTAGCCTTTAGAAAAGTCTCAGAGACTGCTGAGAATAAAGCTCTCGACTAAATCACCCAAGGTTATTAAACATCAGCCATGCTAGAATGGATCCCCATATACAAACAACACTGACAGGATATGGCTGTCAGACGATCTGAGGCTTGTGCCCTCTACAACAGTGAGGAAGACAAGTTGTGACAAAGAACTATGCCTCAAGAAGGAGGTGTGCCACTTGTGGGCTGAGCTGGCTGACACCATGAGGACTCTAATCGAGGTTAGGGAAACCTTATGGACCACCACTGCACTTAAAGTTTTGTTGGCGAGGTTGAGCTGTGGGGGAAATGAAGCCTCGTAGTAACTGTGGGTGAGTAATGTAAATTATGTATCTTTCTTTTAAATTTGTTGCAAATATATAGGTATCTATAGATTTTGTCTTTATTGTTTTTTTGTCTTTTTTTGCTTCATTTGTATTATTTTCTTTGCTTATATGCTTAGTTAACATATTTATATACATCGAAATGTAATGTGTCTCTTTTTTGGTTGTTTACTCGTTGATGTTGAGTCCGTAAAACGTTTCTCTAATACAGTTTTTTTTTTTACACATTTAAATTTATTTCCTATGTGATATATTTTGAAGGGTTGATTTAATTTTCTTGTGTAGTGAAAGTGTTATTTTATATTTTGATTTTGATGGTTCATTGAGTTATTTCTACTTTAATATGTTGTAATAATGGCAAATTATCTATTTTAAAGGACGTTGTTGATGTGACCGGTGAATCGTGTTTTAATATCAAAGGCTTTCTGTTTTGCTATGATTCCAAATGATCTTTTCCTTTAACAGGCCTGTATTTATATGTTTTATAAGGGTTCATTTGGTGTTAGTATAATTGCTGTGTTAAATACTGTTGTTTTCTATTCTTTGATTAAAGGTTTTTTTATGACGTCATAAATATTTCATTGTGAAAAACTGAATTTAATCTTCATTAAAGGTAATTTTTTATAATTTATAATTTTGAGCATGTTTCTTTCTTAAAGAGTTTCATGTGTAGTTGTGTTCTTTGTTAAAGAGTTTTTATTTTTGAATTATTTCTGTGTTAAACGGTTGTGTTGTCTGCATTATGTTTACCAAAATGAGAGAAGGTTATAAAGCTCCTTGGGCAACACATACTCCGTTATAAAATTCAATTGGATATAAAGTTAACATTAACTGTCAGCTTCAAGACAAGCCCGATAAAGGGAGGGAGGGGAGAAATGTGGTATGCAGGCACACGATGCACTTTCTACCTTCCTATTTTATGTAGAATTTTCTGAAATTTTTGTTTGTTCTAGGTATGTACAATTTTCACATAACACATGGTCAAGAAAGTTATTAAGTTGATTTTGTTCTAGCTGCGTTCATTCCTTTGACATTTTGCCGTGGGTAGATTGACTGTAATGTTGCACATTGTACATAAAGGTCTACAACAGTGTCCTTCAATGGCAGATCAGGTGATAGCTCGAAGTTACAACTTCATTTCGATTTGAATGGAAATGACCAATCACATTGGTAGTGCTAGTTGCACTGATTTTACTTTACTTTACTGATTCAACTAAGCAACGCAAAAATTTGACAGTTTAGAACAAAATTTGAAAGGAATTGACCACTTTGGGAATGAATGTAGAGGGGGTAGAACCAGCTTGATCAATTTACAACTCCAGTAGAGACTCTGCACAGCATCCAATGCAAGTATACATATTGTGTTTGTTAAATATAAAATAACAAATGTTGTTTTCATTGTGCATCATAATTTGTGTTTAGTACATTTCTTTCTTAGCACAAACTCAGTTAGTTTTGGCGGAATTCAGTATTACTTCACAATTTATCTTCTTGCGGCTTTCGTTATATAGTAGACCTACTTGTTAGATATACACAACTGTTTCCATTTAAATATAGCATGAATGTTAAATGTAGCTTTTTTTTAGAAGTGATAGTTTATAAGTTGTTTGGTTATATAACTGTTTACGAATCATATATTGTGTAACTCAATGTTGTGAATTGGCGATTGTTGTATTAGTGCATCATGTTACTAGAACATTCTAAGTTTTTCTCGCTCTTTTAATTGAGTATTATTGTATTATAATATCTCATGGTGTGTCGAATATTCTAGGCCTCTGTCGGGCTATAAATGTAGTTCGAGATAGTTAGATAGATAGATAGATAGATCTAGACTGTGTGATTGTGTGTTTAGCCATAAAAAGTGTATAGTGACGATTTTTAAAGTGAAATTATCACAGATTGTATTGTAATAACAGAGTAAGAAGAATAATTGGTCTTGTCAACTGTGTTATAAAGTAATTGAACCAGACTGTGTGGACTTTGAAGAAAAAGAGAAATTATATAAAATTCTGGATACAACAGTGTAACAAATGTTTGTATATAGGTTTGACTTGTTTTAATATATTATTTTAAAACAAGTGGACTGTGTGTTGTTTGTCTATTGTTGA